AATTGAATTTGAGCTTTTTAACATTAAATCCCTTTGATTGATCCACATGCTCACCTTCATTAATAATCTCTCTTTTGTCTCATTACGCTTTTAAATAAGCTGATAATCAATTTCAGCTCATCTAGCCTGCTCCACTAACACCGAATAATCATCAATCCTCAATGGCACAAATGGTTGTTTGATCGATCATTCAATCTCGAAAGGAATATATAACATTTCACTTTTGCAGTAGCTATCAACTGTGAGGCATACATTGACAATGGAATGAACGTTGCTACATACTGCATGATCATATTTTCTCCTTGCACCAACCTAATAAATTTATCTTACATTTGTTTTCAATCAGATATGGATACAAACCACTCTCCGAATAACTCCACGAACTCCTCCCAACATACCATCACGTCGGGTATGTCTCCTAGTTCATCATGGCATAGACACATAGCCCACTCCACCATCTTTTAGCTTCTCCATCAAACACAAATATAATTAATGGCACTCTTCTTTAATCCTAACAAGTCATACTATCTAATATATTCTCAATTCGCATCACCTAGTTCGCCGCTTTAATTAGATCTTTATTTTCTTAAACAAAGGTGGACGTCGATCTTGAAATATCTTAAACAAAAGTAGATCTTCACCCCCACTACACTGAAGTTTGGACTCCAAAATCAATTCAATCATCATCGTCATCATGTGTCAGGACATTTATATTCATATTTAAATTATGTGATACTTCTCCATTTTGGACGACATTTCCCTCTTTCTGAATCTCGGATGCATCAATTTGTCTGAATTTAAACCAATTACTTATTTAATTTTAGCTTAAATTTTTAATTTTTTTATTATAAAATTTTCTTGTAATTATGATATTGGTTCTTTCATTAATTTTGCATTAATTAATTTTTAAACTTATGATATTGGTTCTTTCATTAATTTTGCATTAATATTGCATTATATAATTTTTAAACTTTTTTTTTTACATCATTTTTGTCATAACTAGATTTGACGCTTGGAATTAACCATAGCGGGTACAAACAGTCGGACGATGGAAATTAAATTTTTATATATTCATGTTCTATAAATAACATTTAACAAATAAAAGAGTTGCTAAAATAAATAAATTAAATCAATACAGTTAAATTTACCTCATTACTAGTTGTTCTCTTTTTTCATAAAAATTTTAGCTTTTATTGTTCATCTTTTAATCAAATAATTTAAACTTGAAATGATAGTTTAAAAAAATAGTAAGCTAAATAAAACTAGTGAATACTCAACAACTCCTAAACTACGGTAACGTATTAGAAAGAGAATGATATGCCTATTAGTCAGAAATAAAATTAAATCAATTTAAAAGCATCAGACAATTTACTTTTTCAGATATGATTTTTCATGAAGTTCAGAAAATTCAATGTGTCTTACTATATATTAGTAATATATTTATATCATTTTATATATGTAAAAGTGTTATAGGAACACCGTCTAAAATTTATGTCAATTAAGATATGTCAATATCAATAATCTTTTTCATTTCATGCACGGGAACCTTAGTGTTCCACTGCTAGCACAATAAAGTGATGAACATCATCATAGTCAAATATGCACATGAAAGCATACTATGAAAATCACTATATAATAATGATTATTTCATTTTCATTTGTATAGCAATCAATATACTTGTATAACATTCAATATCTAATAATTTAAACAATGTTGAGTACACATTATTCCTACAATATGAATAAAAATTCATTAGGAACATAAATCGTGAGTTTACAATAATTTCAATATAACAAGTGACAATAACAATAAATACATTTAGTCTAGAATAAGAAAAAATATTGTTATAGCATAAGAACATGATTACTCACCTTTAATTTCATAATTTTCTTCTTTTTCATACAAACTGAACTTTTATAGCTTAAATAATGTTTAATTAAAAATATTTTTTAATATTTTAGTACACAATATGTATATTAGCTTCATTAATTAAAATAAATAAATCTTAACATTTACCTTAGTTATCTCGATCTTAAAATTGAATCACTTTATTTTTTTTATTTCTTCTTGATTTCAAATGCACTTATTATTAATAATTAATGAATAAATGTTTATATATATATATATATATATAATTCATTAATTAAAATATAATTATACCTTAACTTGCCTAAATTTCCTTTGGTCAGTTGCTCTTCCCGCATGCACGCACGAGGTTCTTCTCCTCTGATAGGGATCGAGCTCCTCTTCCTCTACTACTAGGCATGAGGACTCAACTTCAATACTAATGGCGAGTTGATTTCCTCCCTCTTCAGCCACTCGTGGCAGATCAAGCGTGGTAGTTCACAGAATAGGGAAAACCCGCACGAACTTTCCTCCTCCTTTGACTTCTCCTTCTCCTAGTACTCCTTGTGCGAGATCTTCCAAGAAACAAGTTTCACTAGTAGTGTCGTCTTCCTAAGCACTCTCTGGCATGGAGAAGCGCAAGTTGCACACATCATCAATCTTCTTTCCTTTGTATGCGTCCATCGGCTCCCCAGGTAAACCGTTCACAATCGAAGTCAGTGTCTACTACCTTTAGTTTCATCCCTAATAGGCAAGCATTCCTCTTCCTTCTCCTTCTGTCACACAACACGACTCCTCCTTCGGTGAGCCCTAGGTAGCCCCTCTGACTTATAAATTGAACTATTTGCAAATATCTAAGCGAGACACAACATGTCATATAAAATGTATTGCATAGTACGATATGTTATAAACATTTAATATGATTACCATATCATGCAAAATGATTGGTAATAAACGTTTAATATGATTACCATCGTGCAGTAAGATTAGTTTTAATTTTGAAAACTTTCTTAATTAATATAAATTGAACTATCTACAAATATATGAGTAGGATACAACGTGCAATATAATATGTATCGTATATTACAATCAATTGCGATAAAATTGCATTAATTTTTTAATAAATTTTATTTGTCATTTAAGCTCACATGTGTGTTGATTGTCTCAACGATCTGTATACCAAAATTGAATATAAGGACTCAAAAACATCAAAATATATTTTAAATGTTGCGGCATTAGCCTTTTCAATTTTTCTGCTAGCTTGATTTTTTTAATTTTTATGTACAAGAGCAATCCTTACAAACTTTCAGATACATCATTCACCAAAGTCTATGTGTAACAATTGAATTATCATATTTATAATATTAAATGCAATATTATTACTCAAATCTGCTGAGAAATATGTCAGTAAAATTAACTCCATTAAATTGTGCTGATAATCATCAAAATACTTAAGAGTAAAACTACAATCTTATGAGATCAACATCCTATCAAGGGTGGCAAATAACCAATTATGTATGAAATGTAATAATAATAAATGGTTCAAGATATATTACTAGATGTATGAATATGGCATGCATGGAAAAGGATGATTTAGCAATTGAACACAGTGACTATCATTTCACATACATTTTCTTATAAATTTTGTGGACAATCAATTTTTTTCATATGTGATAAAATTTAACATACGAGTGCAAACTATTTTTCTATGCTTGTTATGATCTTATGAAATAATATTAAATTATTACTCGTGTTTTTTTCTTGAGCATATTTATACCCTATGACTTTGTTTATTCCTTAGGAGTAGGTTTCACCAATTAATTTTATTTTCTTTCAAACCCACATATTTTTCTTTTTCATGATTTTTATTTTGGTCGTGTATCATTGAAAGTGTTTCAAGATTTATCTTTCAAGTATCTAAGGAAGGTGATTAAAATTATGTTATTAAATTAACTTTATAATAACTTACCTTTTAGAATAGTTTTTATTATAGTTAAGCTTCATTTATAGCATGGCATGGCTTGGTTGATGTTCTAATCATATTGTTTCTGAATAATTATCATTAATTTAGACTTATTTATTGACTCTAGTTTCATCAACTTACCATACAATAGTTAGCCCAAACCAAAATATGAAAAGCAAATATTATTATTCTAAAGCAAATAGGGTTACAAGCAATGACACTTGAAATAGGAAAACTACGACGCAAACACAAATATCCCCTAAGGTGAGGCTCGAAGTTGGTGGGTTGCGGGTCAAGGTGGTGGAAATTGAGAACGGTAGATGGTTGGGTGGCCCCGAGACAACTAAGGAAAGGTTGTCCGGCGACTGGACAACACTTGAAAGAGGGTTAGAAGGGGCATCTACATGTACGGAAGTGGCTGAAAGGGGCACACCAACAGGGAAGGGGGCAGGAAGGTGAGACAACAGGCAGCAAGTGGTCTGGAAGGGTGTGGCAGCAAGCAGGTGAAAGGTTGAAAGGCGATAGCAAGCAGGAAAGGGGCGGTTGATGGTTATGGACAATAGGCGGGAAGGTAGGGATGGCGACAGCAATCAATAAAAAGAATAATACACACCATCTCGAAACGAGTTACAGTCGAAGCACCTTCTCGTCGTCAAATGCAACCCTAAAAGGGTAAAATAAGACGTCGAAGGCTGTCTTGACAGAAATCTCAAAGCAAAACTAGACCTAGAACATACAAAACACCAATAAATACTATTAGGTGACTAAGGTGGTTCCAAATATGCTAGGAGGAAATTTTAGACCCCCACGAGGCCAGTCGAACTTCCACTCCACTTCTAGACTGGTCTAATTGGTCGATTTAGGCTTCCCGCTCCCGCCTCCTGTCTTCACACCTCCGTCACTAACTATGATATTACAATTGATTTTCAACTAGTCCTACCGAACAGGTTATGACAATAGCAATTATCCAATATTAAGCAGAATAGATTTTAAAAAAAATGATTTATTTTTAATCAAAATATCTTACAATGAAGACCATATTTTGGGACTTAGTTCTTAAAAATCAATAATCTAGCATACTATCATGTGCCACAAGTATTACAAAAAATTCATGTGCATAATACTTTCCACAACAAAAAAAATGGTTCAAAATTTAATAATGAACAACACAGATGAAGGGCAAACAACTCACCCTATTAAAGCCAGCTATCAAGGATATGGGAACCCAGCCTTGTTCATCCATATTTTGCCTCAAGTATAAATCTTTGCACAAATTTTCCGGGCTGACAAGGAAACAAAAAAGATATGTAACCTTTTTTTGGGAGAAGTTGAGCCTTAATGACAACTAAGTTAAAAATTAGTTGTTAGAGTGTGCTTCAAACTTGGGTCTCCTGGTTGGAGAGAAGTCTCTCTACCAACTCCTCCACAAGCCTAGCATAAAGATGTGTAGCTTCACAGCAATATCTATTCACAAGAGAACGGAAACCAACTTCTATGCATACCTAAAATAATAATCTATTTGTTTTAGCAACATAGCACGCTGAGGATCAACTGCAGGAAAATACATTAGTTGTGGAGTAGGAGCAGGGTGAGAAGCAAATGGAACGCCTTTCAGGGACTCAGGATACGGAGGTGCAGCAACATAGTAAATGGGAGATTGAAAATCTGATAATTGTCAAGCCAATCAGTTCATCAAATAGGATAATACAAACTGAGCGGGTAATGTTGCCAACAAAGGATGATTTGTGATTTACCTGGAAATCCCATGTGATTAGAGAAAGGTCTAACAGGTGGAGGTGGTGCAATGAAGGGCGCTGTTGCTACAGATGGAGCCCTTGGGTATGAACCAACACCTCGCTGTTGATGCAACTGCTGCATGTGGACACCTCTACCAATATTCCGATGACTCCATTCATAACCTCCACGATCCCCATCGGCCCTGTTACCATAATTTCCATGGTGGCCAGTGCTGCCCCTTCTGCCTCCGGCATAATTCCGCTGGTGATCATTGCCCCGATGGGAATGAGGAGAAAATCCACCGGTCTTAGTGTAATGATCCCTTTCATTATCACTGCTGCTGTTGTTCTGGTTTGGGAGGCCCCTAGGAAAATTTTCTGAAGAGGGTTGTTTGCCAGGCAGTGACTGGCTTGCCTCTGTTAAGACTGACAAGGATGATGACATGGCCTCTCCAACATTAGCTACCCCAGAGTTGCTACTACCAACACCAGTAACAGCTCCGTGCTTCACGCTCTTGTCGCGGAAAGACGGGGAACCCTGAGTTGAGTTCAGGTTTTGATTATTCGAAGGTTGCTTCGCGGAGGAAGATGACGCCAAGGAAACCTAGCACACGACAAAACGACAACTAAGCATAAATTATATGAACTTCTAATTCTCTCCGTCGTCGTTGAAAATTGGTTCAAATTAAACCAATTCTTAAGGATCTCACCGACAGAGCGGAGATTGATCCGTTGGGAAGGGTCCTGAGGGAGTCAGATGGAGACGATTTAGGCGAAACCCTTGCAGATTCAGACAGCGCAGGCCAAGAGGCAGTGTCCATGACGGATGCCACCTCGATCGCACTATTCGATGGAACGTTCCAAGCTGGCTTCTTCCTCCGGATGATGGGTGAAACCTCAGCAGCATTGCCACTTCCGCCATGATCCGAGCCGGCAGAAGAGCGTGGCGACTGCGTTCCAACGAATGCCTTCCGCGGAGATTGTTCCGGTATCACCGACGCAGGCACCAAGGCGTCGTCGCCTTTCGTAGAAGGTGACGAAACATTGGTGATTTCCTGTGCGGAGGGAGGGGAAGAGGCAGTATCAGCAGAGGATGCCATCGCCGGAAAGAAGTTGTTAATTGTTAGGGTTCAGATCGGAGGAGGACGAAGAGATGGTGGGAAGAGGAGTATGTCTTGCAACGATGAAACGAGAGCGAGTGAAAGCTTAGTGATGCATTCCTCCTTCGTTCCAAAAAAAAAGAGAGAGGATCCGATTACGGATTACAGCAGGAGTGAGGGTTAGACTCTCTCGCTCTGTCTCCGGGCTCCCTGCTTCCTCGTCTCCTCTGTCAGCTTCGTCTTTCCCAAGTTGGGGGAGTAGAGGACTCCTTGGTCTGGTAAATGGAGAGCGTCAGTTTTCTAATGAAAACTATATAAAAACAAAACACGCTTCATTTTTTCTTCGTGCTTCTATTCCTGCATTGCTTTTTCCACTTCTCCGATTCGAACCGCTAATTTGGACCGAAATAATCAACCTATGAAATTACTAAAAATTGCGCTTTTTGTAATGCGGATAAAAACTGATTGGGGTCAAAAATAATATTATCAGATTATGTTATTGTTTTGGTAAAAAGGGTTTTATTAGAGCCGCCATGTTCTTAAAAAATAATTTAAAAATAAATAAAATAATAAGCTCATGAAATTATCTGACATAGTACCATCACTATTTGTTATTGTATTTCCTTTTTAAGTTGATATATCAATAAAATAAATAAATAAATAAGAGGTGGGTCATACAGTGATCAATCTAAATTCTAATTTTAGCAAGTTTATAGTCAAATTGAACATCTCAACGAGTGACATTAAAGGTGAATTGAATTGAATTTTAATGAACAAATACCAGTGTAATAAAAAAATAGGATATTAATTGGAGAATATAAATATCTTCAATCTGGTAAGCTCGTTGTCAAATTGAACATACTAACCAGATAAATCCAATGAGCTCAATATCACTAGATTTTAATAACATTATAACAACCCAAGGCTAAAAAAAGAAAAATATAAGAAGTAAAAATAATACTCAAAATGTGTCATATGATCAAGAGAAACACTTAGCTGCTCGATTAAGTGTTGTGGAGCTTGGTAGTAATTATGGAGGATATCATTCTCAAAGTTATAGATATATCATAAATCTAATATGGAAGGAGAAGCCTATACATAAAGAGGATATTCAAGGAAGATATGCAACATGAGAGCTCCTAAGCCTGGAGAATTAATGAGTTTCACTCATCCACCGCTATCAAATTGACAGCACCTAGTTGCTTTTTCGCTACCAAAAACACCATCATCTAGTTGTCGCTAATAAATTGGCATTATTTTTATCGGCACACAAAGCCAATGTTGTTGTCGGAACACCACTAATGCTCAGCTTTATTGACATGGTTGGATAGCTACAATCATTGAATCATTGTTGCTTCACTTCCATTAATGTCGTTGCAAATTTTCATCGTCTGACCACCTTAATTAGACCGATATTGAATTATTTTCTATCTTCATCAACTTGTCATCATCCGTCCATCATCATCGAGCGATTGTCGCCCATTCTCTGCAGTTAAACTACCATTGTTTGTCAACTATCTATCATCCAACTGTCATCAACATACCACTACAACCATGTCAACACCATTGAAATTTTTGTCTGTCCACTCTAGTTAAACTATTATCATCTGAGTATTTATGTTGAATTACTGTCACTCAAACTAATAAGATCATATTATCAATGGCCAACCACTCCTGTCAAACCACTGTCGTCATTCTACACCACTAAATTGTTGTTATTAGACTATCACCATTAGACCCCCATTGCTTGTCTACCATTATCAGAACATTAATTTATGATCACGATTGTCAGTTTTCAACCGCCTAACCATAATTATTGAACCACTACCACCACATATCGCATAGCAGAAATATTCAATCTTTATCACCCTGACCAATTTTAATTTACTAAAACTATTTGACATTTTTTTTATGATCATTCTCATCTGACTACAGTTGCCCTTCTATGAAACCCCAAGCTCCATCACTCAACTACGATCACCCTACTACAACTGTACAACCTCCATCATATTATTAATGGTCAACCACTTCTATCAACCCTTTGTAGACAGACCAGATAGAGGTGGAACTTATACTTGAGAAAGTGGCTAGGATGTCGCCGGTGTGAAAAAAGAAGAGAGGTCCAGCTACAAAGCTAAAAATGCTTCCACAAAGGACTTACTCCGCGTTTGCGCCGGGGAAGCCGCTAACACCCTAGCACTCTAAACAACCACCTAAGTATAAATCTATGTTGGGCTAGTCAATTTGGAAAAAACATGGGGACTTCTTCTCTGGACATGCAAGTATGATGTAAATGTCTAATAAGTCTTAAGAGTGGAGGCCTATTATAAGACTTAGGTGAAAACCATGATGCAACCCATTTAAAATCCGGCCCAAAAACCATACACAAAACAAAGTACAGATTTTGAAAATCCTAAATTTTAATTAGTCTTAAATTTTTATTAAGATCTTGTAGAAAATCTATAAATTTAAGTCCTAGAGAGCTTAAGTGATTCACATGATTCCCAGACAATCCACTAAATAAAAAAAAATTAAAATTGGTGATCACATTTAAAAAACAAAAAAGTAAATCAGGCCAAATTAAAATAATAAATTGTCGAGTGTTGCTGGGTCAGCAACATATCCCACAAACAGTAAAAAACAACCATACACCCACAAGTTCATACTTCTTCCTAATTCTATTCATTTATGAAATTTAGAAATAAGGTAGAGGACACGAGCAAGCAACTTCTGGACCCCATCACGTGGTTCCACTCATCCGGCATCTCAAAACACGTGCTTGTACCTTATTTCTAATATAAGACTCTAAAAGTACAAGAGGAAGTAACAATAGATTCGACCTGCGGGGAAAAAAAAAAGTTAGTATAAAGCTACCTACAAACAACGCATCTACCATGCCCAGTGGGAGGAGAGCCAACAACACCTGCAGAAACTGTGATTAGAGAAATCATTACGTTTCTTCCCTGTTATACATAGCTTCCTGCAAAAAGACTGCCCCTAATATACTAATATGTATGTCTCACACCTAGTAAACACACAAGACAACACAAAAGTGATGTCTGGTCGAGGAAATAAAACTAGCTAAGAATTGTAGACAATACATCAAAAAAAGAATACCTAGCACCCATTTATTAGCCTAGCACACCATCTAGCGTAGTGTTCTATCACAACATCCAAGTGAGTGTAAGATTAAGTTAGAAGGCTAGTGTATGTTTTGGCGGGATCGCCATCTTCCGCCATCTTTTGCTCCATTCTAAGGATCCAAAAATTCTAAGAGGAGTCACTAAATGCAAGTTTTGTAAAACTTAAGTTTAAAAAAGACAAACCTTACATATGGTTTAAGGTAGGGATGCAAGTAATTTCAAAGTAGTTTTTGAAAATATAATGCACATAAGTAATAAAAGTATAAAATGTTCGTACTTTAAAGTAGTTCCTAAGAAAGGAAAAAATATAAATGGAACTTTATTAGACTCATTGGAACCTTAACATAATATACACATGTTAGTCACGATGTGATAGCAAGTATTGCTCCACTGAAGCATCGTAGTGGGCAATACTCGCTAACACTTCGTGACTAGCAACGAGTCACTCAATTCACAAGGCAAATTCTTCATTGTAAAACTAGAAATGCACATGCAAATGCAAAGTGATCCAATGCGTCGCGATGGCTCTAGCGGGGTAAGAGCAATCACAAAATATCAAACATTTTTAATGACTATATGATGGCATATACCCATGACAAATGTTCCGACAATGCAGAAATGCAAATGAAGAACTTAAGACATATAACAAACATATGACATACCTAGGTGGTGCCACGTGCAGCGTAGCTTGCACACTGAATGAAATCAAAGGCTTTTGGAGCATGCTCCATACTATGTGGTAGTCATGTGCCCCCATGAACATAAATCACATACTTGGAGGAGTCAGAGGCCTTTGGAGTATGATGCATGCCAAGTGATGTGATGCGGCATATCTATGGGACATGTGAGTGATGCCATAGGAAAAGAGGTGATGTGCTTGTAAGGCACACAACGAGAGTGAAATGATGTATTTTCTTTCTAGAGAGAAGCACATGCCAGGTAAACTTGATGTGCAAGCCATCCCAAAATAGGACACATGAGCGTCCATAATGAGTGTGCAAGAGTAGTGGCTAGAGATTGAGTGTTTCGAGGAGCAGTGACTTGGGAATGAGTGTCGGGGAGGCAGTGACTCAATGATAAGAATATGACAATCTGTAGTGGTGTCGTATAGGGATGATGTAATTTAGTTCTCAATGTAGATAACTACACACCATATGAGTTTGGTGGCAAGCCGTCCACTCACATAATGTATGAATGTGCGAGATAGGTATGAAAAGATATGAGTCCAAATGCAAAGACTCCAAGCATGTAAGTCATTGTCACAAATTTTATCCAAGAAAGCATGCAAAGGTGGAAATTTTCAATGCAAACCACCTGTAATGTGGCCACCTGTGACGTGCTGCAAAGTGACACAATGATCTCACAAAAGTAAATATGTAGAATAATGCTCTAGTAGGAAGCACCAGTACTTGTCAAGATAGTGTGCTAGTGTGTATGTGCTAAAGCAGATAATGTGAAAAGCATGCATTGAATGCAACATATCAAATGCAAATGATCAAACAATCGATTGGGCAAGTAGCGACGTCGATTGATCGTGTAAAAAGATAATGGTAAATAGACTGATTGGGCCAATGACAACACAGATCGATCATGTGGACTGAGGAGGGTTGATAAAGTTGGAGTGTAAATCAATCGATGAAGGACAGTCGATCAGCACGATCTGGCCAATGATGACGTCGATCGACCATTTCGACTGAGGAGAGCCGATTGGATCACAGTGTGTGGTCATTTGATGAAGAATGGTTGATCGATAAAATTAGACTAGTGGTTGCGCCGATCGATCATGTTGACCAAATATGGTCGATTGAGGTAGAGTTGCGACTGATCAACAAAAGACGGTCAATCGATATGATTAGGCCATGTGGTGGCACCGATCAATCATGTAAAACTAAGATGGTCAAATGGCATGGAGTGTGCGGTCGATTGAAAAAGGAGGGTCGATCAATACGATCGAGTCAGTGGAGTTGCCAATCGATCATGTTGACAAACAAGAAGTAGATTGATCCACTGTAAGTGGTCAATCAATAGAACATGCAAAAAATGGACATTTTATTGCACTTTAAAATCATGCTAAACACATATTATGAATGCAACCATATGTCATATGAAACTCGATTAGATTTGATGACAAATCATGTTCATCCTAGTGAATTCACGGGA